AAACGAGATTTTTCCTCTAACTTCCTCAACTTACCTATTAATAAGATGTAATGTCTACCTTCCATGCACTCATCTAACTTATAGAAGCTATCTAACCAGATACACATAAATCCTCTAGCACTTCTTTTTGCAACCACTGACTTACCTCATACTTTCTTTTCAAGGTAAAGTCTCTCATATAAACTTGGCTATGTTTTGGATAACTTAGTTTCTTGCAAAAAAATCAAACTCAGTCTCTCATTACTAATAAACCTTTTTAAGACTTCACGTTTCTCACTTCCTAGAACCATGATTACAATAGCATTAGATAATCAAACCCATGAACACACAAAAAAGAGCTTACCTTACCTCTCAGCTTGGCTTGCTTATTTCCACCTTATGCAACCCCTCCACCATATCCTCCTCGGACTTGTAAAATCTAATGCCCAGTCTTTGGCTTACCACCCATGTATTAGTTGTCTCTTTCATTATTATTATATTTCTACTACCAATTATGTGTCCATGATTGAATACTCAAGAATCTACTTTGGAATGCCATTCTCTATTTTCAATAGTTTCCTGATTTCTTTTCACACCTATGACCCTCTAAATTGCCCTTGGACATTTTATTACCACCTCATTTTCCCCCTTATCAACCTTGGATCTCAATTTGAATTTTGAATATCTTTATCATCCCTAGTTACTTCTTTCGTGACCCATTAACTTTTTCTTTCCTTATTTTTAGCCAAACGTTTTAACACTAGGTTTCCCTTTATTGCCCTTTGATACTCAATCCACTCAGGATCTGTTGCAATTCTTTTCCTTGCCATAGATTTCCCTTCTCTCTTATAGCTTTGCAGTTTTACTTGATTCCCTTTTCTTGTCATACATGGCTCCCCCCCCCCCCCCCCCCTTTTCAAGTGGACAGACCATGATCTCGCTAAAGTGTCTTTTAGATTCACTACTTCTTTGGTCTCATCAAAACCATCCCCCATATCAAGTAATACCATACTATCAACTTTACCAAATAGGCCATATGAGTTTTATCTTTTTTTCGCTTTCTTGCCATATTAAGGGATTTTTACTTACCTTTTTTTTTCACTCTCCTGGCTTGTTCTTACCTAACGCTTGTCCATGGTTGAAAAAAGGCTTCTCTGTTGGATTCGTCTTTCCCTAGGTTTAGCTACTTCCTTTTCTCCTTTTCAATTTCAGTTGATTACCTTATTAATTAGCTCAGCATAGTTGGTCCAAAATCATAGCCCACTGCCTCAAGCTCTAAGTTCAAGTTTTCACCAGTCGATCTAAGTCCAGACTCAAGCCCATCCCTCTTAGTTCGTCCAAGCCCTTAACTTGGTCTAAGTCACTTAACAAAATGGGGCTATAGTTTGTAGCGAGCTTTGATGGACCTATCTCACCAATTGAAATGTGATTTTATAATTTTTTTAGATTTAACCAAAACCCATTCTCTATTCATCTTGATTCTTCATCCTTGTTCCTACTTTTTGATCTAGCTAGATTTCCTGTATCTTCTTTTTAGACGCATGACATTTCATTCTAACTCGATACCATTCTTGGTGAGTCCCTAATAGACCCATGACCTAGTCTATGTAAAGCTTCCCCATAATCCATAAGTAATTATCCCTATCTTAAGTCCTTTTTTGTAAACTTTATTGACATATCAACCTCTATTAATCATCATAAGGGGGGACCATATAGACTACTAGCGTTGGGGATCGAGCCTTCCCTAGATATGTCACTCTATTCATCATTTATTGATTTAATTAGTGTTCTCACCTTGGGTTATGCCCTAGCCTCATGCACTTGGCCATTAATTGAGTAAATAACCACCCCTTCTCGTACAACATCAACGATGGTGGTTTTGATTAAAACTCCTTTCCTTTTATGAATACCTTCATGTAGGTAAGGATCTTTCTTCTACTCTTCACCTTTATCAAGATTAAATAGGAGAATTTCTTCAAGTTTCACCAATACAAGCCTTAACATTGTTTCATCCTTTACCTTATACTTGGATAGCTTTTCAAATCGTACCTTAAAGATTTCATAGTAATTTTGCAATAAAGTCTTCATATTGTCTTTATCTACAAAGGTTACTAGTACCCTTACATCATCAACTTTCCTTACTTGGGTTATCATGCTCTCCAAAGATAAAGGCTCTTTAAACTGCTTGGCAATTATTATATCCCCTCAAAGTCTTTAATGCACTCCTCTTTAACCACTCAAACTCTAAGATGGTCACCAACATCTTTCATTAACTCTCCTTCTCAAGTCTATGCTTGTGTTAAGAACTAATACTCTGCTAAACCCCTTACTTTTCTGCCTCATGTTTGTCCACTAATGACTCTTAATAGGACTTTCGCTCACTTTCTACATAACTCCTCCTACTTATTGAAGGCATGTTGTGGTTTCTTAAGATCACATAGTTCTTAGGTTGATCCACCACCTTCATTATAAGCCTTTGATCATCTAGCACCTTCCCATGACTGTGTTGGATAGCTTTGTTGAGTTCGTCAACTTCCCTACACCTAACAAAAGAGTACCCTAAGAGTCTTTTGGCCATTACTTTCAAAATAAAAACATCCACCATGATACCAAAGTTGTCGAATAATCTCTTAGCATCCCACCACGAAATCCTTGGGCTGAGTTTTCCAACAATAGCGATGAACAGATTCCTCCTCCACCTAACCACTTCTTGTTCCTCGGTGCCAATTCTACTACCTCTTAACCCTCGTTCATGTCATTCACCTACTCTTCCCCGTACTTTCTGTCATCCTACTCTGTTGTTGGGTATGACAGGAAACTTATTGTGTGTGTGTGTGTGAGAGAGAGAGAGAGAGAGAGAAAGAGAGAGAGAGAGAGAGAGATTGCACCTAAAATTAGGACCAATTTTTAATCATTTGAATTTCCAAAATAAGAACCTTAACGAATCAGGAAAAACAAAATAACAGCACCAAAGTTAAACTCCATACTTAACCCTTTAATTTTTATACAAAAAAAATCAACCATTAAATCAAATACTTGAATACTAGAAAAAACTAAGATATATCTTTCTCTTCCTGAAAATAGTTCTCATGGTAACCTATAGTGATAATTATCAAAGGTTACCATTAACAACTAATATATGCAAAAATCAAGACAATAAGCACAGTGGAGGACATTTGTAGGAATCGATAGATTGGAGGAGTTGATTGGACGAGATTGTTTCAAAAATGGTTTTAGAGAAGCCAACAATTTGGCAGATACTCTAGCAAGATTGGGGGTGGAAAGAGAGGACATGTTCTGAGTTGTATGGTAAAGGAGGAAGCTGTAGTTTAGATCTCATATGAAATATAGTATCAGCCTTTACGTTCTGGTTGTGTAGACAACTAGTAGTCCGCAAAGGCAAACATAAGAAGTCCAAGTAAGGAATCCATGTTGCTATCTATGAGTTATATTGTTGGTTATGTTATGTGTATGAAAATTGGGGTGTTAGGACGGAAATTAGGGTATTAGGGGAACAGTCCTACTATAATTTGTATTATTTTAATTTCTGTTGTGTAGTTGTCAATTACAGGAGTCTGCAGTTTATTTTGGACATTGTGACACATTGTGAAATGGGTGGAGTCTCTGTTGCTGTTGTTTGTTTTGTACCATTCCAGATATTTGGAATGTGTGAGCTGTTTTAAGCTTTTATTTAATGAAAGTATGTATTGTTTGAGAAAAAAATAATATTTGACCAAAAGGTTTTTATCCTCAAAAGATAAAAGGCTTGATATTCAAGATTTTGAATATTCCAAGTGAAACTCCTAATATGCTATATGAGTTCTTCCCAGAATTTTCTCTTGTCGACCGATTAAATGTTGTTTACTTAATTTTCCTCATGCTTTTGATGACTCACTATACATCAAATATGCAAAAATTAGTGGTATAATCAAACAGTTAGTTCCATGTGCATGCTTTCGCTAAGCAGAGAATGACAGTAGAATACAAAGTATGTTTCTTGACTACCATTCGAAAAGTTGACTATAACCTCTTTTACTAGTACGCAATTAATTAAACGGAAAATTCTCCTAACTTGTTAGGCTAAACCTTTTTAAAAATCTTCCTGAAATCTATAAAGAATTATATCTAATTAAAAAAAGTGAATCATTTTAGGTTTAGGGTTTTTGTTAACCTATTGTGTTAGGTAAAACTTTGAATTTAATAGTACTTGGAGTTTAGACTACACAATTAATTCATCCGGGAACATTTTAATTGGTCCTTCTACCCTATTCATGCTACAAGTAACAAGGCAAATAAATTGTTTGTTTCGAAAATGATATAAGGAAAAGTAGACTTCAATTTTTTTTTTCAAGCTGGATTTTCAATTGAAAATGACAGGGTTTATTGTGGTCCAACACACTATTCTTTTAATTTCCAATTTTCTTTTGGCTGAAACAAAAGTCGCTTGATCATATGAAGGCTGCTAAATCGAACCTTGTATTTTTTGGGGCTTAGAGTGAATTTCCTCCTCGACCAGATTAAAATAATTGTTTTAAAAAAAAAACTCGATCGAGTATAGAATTACTCATCAAATCCTCATTTGTAATACTAAAAGATTAATTGACATTAAATTTGCAAAGTCTTTTTCATTGAAGAAATGATCAAGGTAAGCCGACTACATACATATAAGGATTTGAACACTTGATTGTATATTTATAGAAGTAGAGTAGAAGAACTTTTTAGTGCTTCATATATCTTTGCAGTATCATCCATGGTAGATTTATACCTGAGATTTCCTTGTATAGCTATATTTGCTTTATTTAACTTGGCAATTGAGTTGAAGCTCCCTATATGTAAAATATCAGATCTACGATGTTCTTGAGGATTTAGATACACACTCTGGTCTCAATTTAGTACGTAATTACTAGAATAAGGTTAAACCTGTATGGCCAATTTATTTGTATAATTGTCAGTTTCTTTATCTCCAAGCCAGGTTCAAGTATACGGCTAAGGAAAAACAGGATTCAATGACTCATAAGAAATTAAAATAAAGAACTTAACTTTGACTTTGCTTCAACTTTGATGGCATAAAAATGGGCAACACATTCCAGTGCCCTTATTATACAATTACTGAAATATTGGAAGATCTTTAGTTCCCCTCAATATAACATGATTCTGCCGAAGCATTCTAATTGATCCTTCTGCAATTTGCCCTGATCTCTCCACTGTTCCCTGTCGAAGGGCTTAGGTTGCCCAAATTGATCATGGATTGAACGAAGGTATCAAAGAAGTCAGTTTGGCTATTAGCGAACCTATTGACAATGGACACTGTGTTAGCACCAGCGGTTGAAAACAAAGACTGATCAGTTTGGAGAAGGCCGCGGTTGTTCTGGAGGTTTGTGTAGTAGTTGTTGTCAAAATCATCAGCAGTTGATGAATCAAGATTTGTTAAGACATCACCGTCCCCGCCTTCAGGACATATTTGCCCAAGTACTTGAGAAAATGTTGGGTCCAAGGTCGTGTCTGTGCCAATGCGGTGACTGAAAGTTGAGCATCGAGCACGACCAAATGTATGCGCACCTGATAAGCAACCGGCCATGTTTATAAGAATCATGAATTTTATGATGTAAAATGTATATATCCCCGCATATGACACAATTTTCATACATATAAGAATAAAGTCCAACGTCTCTAAATTTTCGCTGCAGCTCGTCGAAGTCGTCAAAAGGAGATGGGATTCCAGAAGTTCCAGCTTGGTTTGCAGTCCGACTGTCTCTTCTTCCTAGCGGTACTTGCCACGTTGGACCTCCAGCCTTCCAGGGTAGAGGAAAAACACGATATAAATGCTTTGCATTAGGGCAAAGAGATATTTTGCTTTTAACATAGAAATATGGACGTCGGAAGGCTTGCATAAAATTAGAAAATGGCAAATTAAGTACCAATGAAACTCCAATTTGAGATCCAAGGGCCAAAATATCAGCACATGATACAACTCCTGGACAGGAATTCTCTAGTGCCGTTTTAATGTCATCAACAATTTGAAATGCCTCGATTGTTTGGTTGGGGGGCGTGTCCTTTTCACTAACGATGCCATTTGCAGCATCATCATCTAGCAAAAGTGATCCATCACAACCCTGCACAAACCACAGACAAATTGTTGGTTATCGATAAAACAAGCCAGCCTAAAAACCATGCAGAGCTCCCTTTTTGAGCACGACGTCACGCAAGAAGAAATAAAGTTAAGAGAAGGGATGATTATTTACATTGACCATGCAATCGTGGAAATGAGCACGAATGATTTTGGCACCAACTCGGATGTCGTTTTGGACAGCCTGCTCCAGCACCCCACGTACAATGCTCACCACATCAGGGCATGTGTTGGAGTAAAACGTGGGGCTAAGCTGAGCATTGGATCCTCCCAGCATGACAGCAAGGAGGAGAACAATGGCTGTCATTTGAAATGAAGGCATGATTTTGCTTTCTGAACTTCTCAAAAAGCTTTATTAGTTATATCTGTGAGCAACTGTGAGACTTCATGTTACGTCGCAGGTCCATTTATATAGGGACAGTCACTGTTGTTTGATGCAAGCCAATTGCTGACCATATCATCCCTGGAGGCTGATGTGCTGCGTGAAGGAATTTTCTATGATTACTTGTCAGCTGAGAGGAACTTTTCTGCATACCTTGACAATATCGACGACACTTCTGAGTTAATCATTCTATTAGTTTTTTTTTTGAATAAATTAGAATTTGAGATACATACTTAAGTACAGTTTTAAGATAATCTCTTTTTCAATTAATAAATTTCAACCCGATCTATTTCAAAATTCGAGTGCAAAATTTTTTTTAATTAGCATCTTTTTAAGCCAAATCATAAATTTTAAAATGAAAAAACAAATAAATAAAATTTTATTGTTAACTAAAAATTAAAAAAATTAATGAAATCAAGGGAGAAACTTAAACCAAATAAAAGAGATGAAGTGGAAAAAAATAATTTTGATTGATAATATTATGTATTATTGAATACTAAAGTGAGAATATTATTTATTTCTTCATATTATCACTTTTGGGGATAAAATTTGGATTTATAATTTTGTTTAAAAATTTCCTCACATGAGCTAAAATTTTAAAAGTGTTGAGTACCTTTTGAATTAATTAAAATAATTATTGAGAAGTCGTAGCAGAGTGGCAGAGAGTAAGAGCAACAGGAAATTAGAAAACACTAGCCGCCTTTCCCCTACCTTCTATTATAAGGATTAAGGAAGAAAGTTCAACCCAAACTTTGGTCAACTATTGGAGCTCGACCGAAGTTCCTTGTTAGCAAATTCAAAGACCACTAGCTCATTGTCCACTTTGCTATTCATTAACTTAGGCAAATGATCATCTCAATGATTTTTATACATAAACAGCAAAGAGTAGGACACTAAGTGTCTTACTTTTGCAGCCAAGCAGCGAAAACTAACATCATATACACATAGCTTAAATCATTCACCTCATTTTATCAATTGACTATGGCCTACTCCTAACCATAAAATAAAACCCCAGTATGTAATGGTTAACCATTTCCCTAAGTATGATATTTTTTTGAATAAATCGACAATAAATTTCCCAATCTTGTTCAAAATTTTTCCTAATGACATAAATGGAGTCTGTCTCATGTAAAACAACCAGGATGTGATTAACAGTTACGTAGGGCGGTAGGGGTGGGCTCAACTTGTAGTGGAAGTCAATTTAGGGGGCTGAATGTTTGTTTTTCCTCTTTTGGGTAACGTGGTGGCTCAAACTGGATTTAGGCAACGACAGTGTAGAGTTGATAATTGAGAGTTTGAAAAGAAGAGAAAACAAATAACAGGAGAAAACTTTGAGCTAAGCTTTTGTTTTTTGTTTGTTTTTTTTGTTTTTGTTTACGAGAAGGTTGACCAGCTAAGCCATTTTGTTTTGGTAACACTTCCTCGCTTGGAAAATGGAATTCAGTTTTGTAAATGATACATGCTGATGTGGCTGCAACACTTCATCCCAAAGAATTTAATGCAATTTCATTTTGAGCTTCTAAGTAGGGATGTCTAATTTATACTTTACATTATTCAATTCGATTGATTACGTAAGATTAAGGTATTTTATAATTGGATTTGAGTTTAGATAATAAAGTTTTTATTTATCATGAATTTGAGATTGGGTAGCAGTCTTAGCATGCCCATTACTCAAACTCAATTATAAATACTGATTTTTAATATTAAATTTTAGTTTTATATATTTTTTTTTTGTTTATAAACTCTTTATAATTAATGCAATACTTACTAAGTTTCATTAATTGTTTTAAATATGATTTTAAATTTTATTTTTTTATGAATTAACTTTAATTTGTTAATATAAAATTTTATTTTAAATTTATTTTAATGAGGATGAGTATTTAACAGAATATCTAAGATATTCAAATACAAGTTCGATTAATAATTCAAAAAAATCAATCGGGGTTATTGTTGCCGTATAGTTTTCTTTCCTTTTTGTTTTTTCATATCTCAAGTCTTCACGTTCTGCCTGTTTAAAAATGACTCAAATCTCTACAATTAAGCAAGAATTAAAATTATTCATTATGATCTTTAAATTGATTAAGCAAGAATTCAAATTATTCAAACAAAAAAAAAGGAAAAAGCATTCAAGAAAGAAGTGATTCATAAAAACCCATTATCAAGAAAGCACAAGTGTGAAGTACAAGGCATGATATTCAGTAGAATTATGGGGCCATGAAAAGTTTGACAATAATGAAAAGGTCAACAATAGGTAGATAAAGGATACGTCATCCTAAGTGGTTTGAGAGAGATATCCATTGATTATCGGCATGATTGAGCTCAATCAAATCTTTGACCAAAGTTGAATAAATTCGAAAATTATTAATGAGTTAAGAAAATTAGAAGATCTAAAATGATAAATAAAAACAAAGAGTTGATATTGTACCGTGCTTTATGACTTATTAAGATATTAGATGATGAAGGATTGAATTACACTAATAAATTGAGCATTGAAAGGTTAAGTCAAACTTAATTGACTCTTCTTAATGTTTGGGTAGTCATGACACAGTATTAGATATCAATCTTGACTTAAAAATATGACCAAATCAATTAGGGAATTGATGATGAACGTAAATTGTTTGATTCATCTAATCCTTAGTAGATTAGAATTATAGTTTCATATTTATTGTCAATATATTAAAAACTTAATAAATCACACACATTAAAGATTTCAATGTAAAACTGTAAAATTGGAGATTAAGTTGGACCTAAGTGAAAAGAAGTATAGACTTTAAGAACTTCATTAAATAAGTTCAATTTTGTCAAGGTAAATCCTATTAGGATTAGCATTAGCATATTTGCCTATAAATAAGATGCTTATGTTGCATTTTGAGCTATAAAATTGGCAGAAAAACCTTGAGAGGGAATATTTGAGAATAATGAGGAAAAACTTTGACAACCACAAGCCCTCCTTAACCTTTTGAGTCAGTGACAAGGCCTTTTCTTGGGAATCAATTTTGGGAATTCCTATCCCTGGGAATCAGGGGCTTCTTTTCTTCTTCCTCCTCTTTTAATTTTTGGTTTTCCTTAGGATGTAAGAAACATTTAGTGCCTCTTTTTAGCTACCATTAGGCTTGAAATAAAAGCAAACCCCAAATCATCATTAGTGTTATTCTACTTGAAGTTTGTGTGACTCACCATTAGAGGTTGGATACTTAGATTTCCTAAAGTTTGCAATATCTAAGCTCTATGGGTAGAAGATATTAACATCCTTGCTGATCAAGCCTTCCAATTTCAACATCTAGGCTTTAAGGTATTAAATCTTCTACCAACTGGTTAGGATTTATCTATATTAATCAACCATTACTGATCTTACTGAAGGGAAACAATTTTAATTTTCGTTATGCATGTACATTGATTGGCATGACTTTTCTTAATAGGATATTAAGCCTTCTCTTCCTCTCTATAAGCATTACTTCATCAAAAGGTCGGGGCAATTAATCTCACCCTTTCAAAAATTATTCCCTTGCATCTAGTATGAGTTTCAAAAATCTTTTTAGCTCTTCTCTATTAATTTATTAGGTCATCCCAATTGCCTTTGCACTCTCACAAAGTAATTAATCACGTGAGTCATTATACTTTATAATTGCCATTTCTTTTTAATTCTCTACATTAGAAAACTCAAATTTAATTATAGATCATAAATCCATTATAGTAAAGGTGTTTTCGTAAGTTCCTTTTTTCTATGATCAAAAATGCTTTATGACCATGCATTTTCCATAAAAGTCAATCACCTACTTGATGTTTATGCTAAAAGGGTGTTTTGAGTATTGGGCTATAGCCAGAATAACTTGGTTTTTTTTTTTTTTTTTATCACCCCAAAAGTGGGAATATATATTATAAATCACTGAAAGAATACCGTAAAAAGCATAGGAGCTGTCTATGTAAATCCAAGTACAAGGCAAAGAAGTTGATTGCCACTAAACAAGAAAAGGGACATCAACGAATGCATCCCACATTCACAAAGGTAGAGCCAAGAGAAGTTCAGCCATAAACATCATGCTAAATACATAGCATACACTTGGAAAAAGGGTAACGATAGACAGCAAGTGGAAAACATGCAGGCAAGTTTGACTCTTAACATTAATAGCATTCCTACTTTGCAAGATTGCACCACCTTCCTTACCAGTCTAGCATTCATAGAACTCCTGATCAATCCCTTAAAATTCCAAGAAAAGATGCATATTAATCGAACACCAAATTGAATAATAATAGAGAGATAGATAGGCAGCTCAATATCACAAAACAAAAAATGCTAGGGAGGGTGAACTCGCATCACGGCAGGAGCATGGCAACGATAGAGCAGTTCACAAACAGACAAACAATAAAGAGATAGCACCTCATAAATACCTCAATATCACATGGTAAATAACAGTCCACAAGAAAACATGGGAACATATCCAGAAAATCATCACCGAGCCCAGAAAGATGAAATGTTGGAGGCATAATGGAGAAATGGCCATATTAAAGTCCCATTGAATCAAAATACACACACAAATAAATAAAAGCAACCATAAAACCACTAAAATATTAAAAATTCAACAAATTAATTAAATCTACTGCCACCTTGAATATTAATTGAGGAAGAGAGATATTGAAAAAGAAAGCTGCTCAGAAAGAGCAACCCAGAAAGTAAAATCAAGGGCTGCTTTAAACCTAATAGATATACTTTTTCATTTTAGCCTTTCTTTCCAGTTGTTCAATTCTACTTCAAATCTGCTACTCTGGGCAATTGGGGGTTACAAGAGAAACCTAACTTAGTACCCATGTTCCAAATGTCATGAGCCTCCCTATTGGTTACCTAATTCTAGTGAAGAATATCACTATTTATGAAGAAGGCATTTGGAATTGGACTTTTAGAGTTTGGAAAGAGAACCCTCTTGCTTCAAGTTTTTAATTCCCTTCCTCCTCAATTCTTAAATCCTCTTAAAGCCTTAGATCTTACCCCTTTCTTAAAAAGATCAATTAGACTTATTTCATTGTTAGAAATAAAGAGACAAATCAGGTACCAACTCATCGTCAGCATCAATTTCGCTGATGGTTTGGTTTTCTAGAAGTTACAAATCAAAGGCCAGCTGATTTGAACATGAAGGAGTGGAGTTGGGAAATGGTTGAGCTCAATTTGAAGATGAGAAAGCAATTAGGTGAATGGCGGTTTATGGGGTTTTTCATGGGTCGTATTTGGGGGCAAGGCTTAAGCATAGTTGCGCCCGGCCTTTGTGGGTTCTAAGGGTTACCACCCGTTGAGCTAGAATCAGGCTAGGCTGAATAGAACCTCTTTTCAGTTGGAACAAACAAGTGTTGGACAAATGAGCTGCAATGCTATGGGGCTTGAGGGACCAGGCTTACAATTGTTATGTTCGTTTTGGGGTGGTGTGACTGAATTTGAGAAAAGCGAGCTTGATTGGGCTCCATTTAATGGGTTGAATGGCTTATGGACAGGGGCAAGGCCTCTTAATTTTTCCAGCCAGGTGTCCTCTAAGCTGGGCTCGTTTTCTGGTCTTGGTTCGCAATCTTTCTGTAACCCATCCGAAGCGAATTCCTCTCTTGATGGGCTAATGTCCGTCTCTTGCTCATGATCTTTAGCAAACCCATCATTTGCAAAATCATGTTTATTATTTCCTAGACTAGTATGCTCCTCATCTTCATCACTGATCGTTCCATAACAACGAAAGCAATTCCTCCATTGTAGACAATTCAGAGGAAGAACTAAGATTGCTATACCTCCTGGTTATTTAAACAACTGTTGTAACATGCGGGTCTGGAAATTCGACCACTTGACATGAAAAATTTAATAATCACTATCAATCTTTTTTTATTTAAGTATGATTGACCACCTATTAAATTTATTCAATCGATAAATTATTAAATCAATTTTAAGTTTATCTAAAGAATAATAATCTGATCTACGAATTTAAAGTTGGGTTTGGGATGTTATCCTATTGGTGCCTTAATTCTTAAATTCTTAATTTTTAAATCAAAATGAAAATCACGTTCAAAGTTGATGGACAAATATAGTTATGCACTGAAGCAGTATGGTTAGAGCGTCGCTGCACCAAAGACTCATGGTTACTGCACTGCAAGTGATACCTCACAACATAGTGAATAATGGTCGTGGCCCTGCACATCTAGAGAGCATCATACAAAAACCAAAGAGCATAGTATTGCGGAGCCGAAAAGGGCAAGGATGATCACGGCATCGCGATGCCAAGAAAGCATGGTCGTGGTGCAACCTCGATTTATAAAATTAAACTTTTGACGAAAAATTAAAAAATAAGACATTTAGCACATATTTAAGAACCTACTTGGAGAATATTCAACAAAGAGGACAACAACAACTTTCTAAAGAAATAAAGTTTATCATATGCATGAAGTAGTAACTTTTTTTTTTTTGATAATATGGCGCTCTCTGCTCATAAAAATTAAAAAAGATTTATCAGATTTATATGTTTCATTTAAACGTACATAACTGTGTATGAGTTTGGAGATACATGTTGATCCTTGATCTTATGTATCAGTTAATGTTTTTACTTAGGAATTTCGCACTTGACCAAACATTTTTGTTTTAGGAACAATTCCCAAATATTTTATGTGCTTGGTGGAAAGTGGGTTCCCCATTGCTTTATTTAACTTTATAGTAGATACTTTCAAAAGACAATATGGGTGCGCCACCACAAAGTGGTGGGTAAAGGCGAAAGCTTATTGGTTTGATAGGTAAGGTATTGGAGGTCCGACTGCCAGCGCCAACTATTTTTAAGTACCCCATTAACTTCGAGCCATGAGAAGTCTCTGCTCGCTTCACTAATAAAGTTTTTTTGTTTTTATCATATTAAGGACTCGCAATTAAATCCCTCTTGGCTTTATATGGCCCGTCTCGATGGGTTCCCCCCCACTCAAGGGGTGAGTGTTTTTCCTTTTTCTTAATTTGAAAATCAGAGATTAGGTATGTGGAGCCAAGTTTCTTAAGTAAATAGTCTGATTGAATATATATTTAATCTATCTAAATAACTACAGTTAGTCTAAATATCCACAGTTTCTAAAGAGGTGAACTCGTAAAACAAATTAGTACAACTTTGGGCCAAAGGGAGAAAAGCACACATTAGAAAAACATTAAATAAACTTATATAGATCACACAGCAACATACGTATTACATTGGCTTCCCCACCTCTCCATCACTTACACAGCAAATCCCCGATTCAGTTAAATGCTACCTATGAATTTACGGCCCTGCAATTCGTCCTAATCTGTCCATTAGATCCTGTAAGTGGACTTATATTCCCCATCTTGATCATGGAATTGGCGAAGTCGTTGAAGAAAAGCTGTGAATTACTGCTGTAGCTTTCAACAAGGCTTTTAGTTGTGGAAATGGCCAAGTCGCTAGAATATAGAATTTGATCAGAACCTAATAAACCCTTCCCATTTAGCAAGTTCTGGAAATAATGGTTGTCAAATAGATCAGTTGAGTTCCTATCAAGAACGGTGGTCTTGTTCCCATCACCATTAACTGGACAAAAGCTTTGCAGATCAGACAACATGCTTGCCTCCAGTGTAGTATCTGGAGCACCAGTTCCTGAGAAGTTGAATAATCTGTTGCTGAAGGTAGCACACTTGGCTAATCCAATTGTATGGCCGCCTATAGAAAAATGCATGTTAATATTAACTCCCAAACAAATGTAAGTCATTTCATCAGATTAGTATACTATTGCATGCAGTAACTAATAGTTACAATTAATACTGCTACATTGGTAAGAGAAACTATTTTCATGTCCAAAGCCTGGAGCTGTGTAGACTAGGTTACCTGACAAAGATACTACATCAGTGATGTTTAGGCCAACATTAACATACTTTTGAATAATCGCATCTAGTGCCTCAAATGGAGAAGGAAGTGCATCATTTGCAAGTGTTGCATTTGAAATCAATCCATCTCTTCTTCCTAATAAAACTCTCCAGGTTGGTCCTCCACTCTGCCAAAGATTTCCAATTAATTAATTTGCATCCTTAAATAGAAGGTGTGCGTGCGTGCGCGTGTTAATTTTGAAAATAAATTGACCCAAAGCTTTCTCGTCAGTGATTCCAA